ACAACTACCAGACAGCTACCGGATGACAGGACCAAAGATCTGCTGGTCCCTCAAACCCAGTGCAACTCCAAGTACCACCAATACCAAACCCCCCGCCTAAGGCATCATCAGAGCAGAGCAGGGTCCCGGATGACGCGGAACATTTCGCCTAGAGTCTGAATGCACGCTTTCCTGATTTGTGTTATCGTTCTTGTCTGGTCTCTCTCTAGACCATTCTCCAAGCTATGCCCAGAGCTCCATTTCTTCAAGCGACGTCATGATTCTGCTTGCAATTCCCAAGTCTTCACTCCTTCATGCAATACTCCATGTCCTTCAAGAGCTGGCCCTCCCTATCTCCATCTTCTTTTGTCCCCCTCCCCACCGCTTTCATTCTCCAGCCATTCTAAGCGCCCCCTCGGTTTAATCCCCCATACCAGGTTGTCAAAGACAGCCACGGGGCCGGTAGCAGGCACAAGTATTCCAAACAAAAGGAGCAGCGCATGCTAAGTCCTGCTCCTCAGGCCAGAGCTATCTCAGGAATCACTTCCTACGGAAGATCCTCTGGCTGACCACCTCTCCCTGTAGCCATCAGTCGCTCCCCATCCCTATGACATTTCTGTGTACAGAATGGGACTCTGCTCCATGAATCAGACAAGAAATTACCCTGCAACACTTCCCCCTAGAAAGTAAGCTAGCACCTTACGATGTTTTATCCATTTTGTGTCACCAGCACCTACCTGCCTGTGAGGAAGTAAAAACAAACAGAAGAGGGGCGCCTGGGTGGCTCAGTCGGTTAAGTGGCCGACTTGGACTCAGGTCATGATCTCGCGGTCTGTGGGTTTGAGCCCCGCATCGGGTTCTGTGCTGACAGCTCAGAGCCTGGAGCCTGCTGGGGATTCTGTGTCTCCCTCTCTCTCTTTGCCCCTCCCCTGCTCACACTCAGCCTCTCACTCTCTCTCAAAAATAAATAAACATTTAAAAAATGAGTAAATAAACAGAAGAGCCAGGTTTTTGCTTAAGGACTTGGTTAACAGAGGCTGGTGTATATAGAACTAATAACATCTATAATAAAAATTATGATAATAATAGCTAACCCTTATGTGTCTGGGACCTGCTCAGTGTCTTATTATGTTAACTCATCAAACCCATACGATAATCACCAAAACCACCTGAGGTAGGCATCTCCACCAGGTCCATTTTACAGATGAGAAAGCTGAGGCACAGGAGGCCAACTAACCTCCCCCAAGGCAACAGAGCCAGAAAGCAGCACGGCAAGGATGCCGGTCCAGACAGTCTGGCTTCAGAGTCTGAGCCCTTGTCCATTTCGCCATCTGTTTCTCTAAAGGGGACGTAGAGGTGGGAGAGGCAATCAAAGTCTCTTCTACAGCCAGGAGGACACCAGTGTTCACTTTATTCTCCACATCAGCAAACCCTAGAGCTCCTAGCGGGGTTATCTCGGGGAACTTGGCCTTCCACGCCCCACCCACACCCTAACACAAGGGTGCCAAGCCCCAGCTTTGGAAGCAGAAACTGGCAGGACAGAACCCTCACGGCTGGGAACAGCCCCCCTTGGGGCCCTTCCGGTGGCCCCCTCCACCAGCCACGCCCAGCCCCCCCTTCCCCAGCTGCCGAGACCCTGCCTCCCACCCCCCTGCACCTGGTTGCCCCTGGCAGGCAGCCCCAGACCCCTCGTGGAGGATAAGCTTCCCCCAGCTCTGAGCAGCTGCCAGGCCATGCCGGAGCCGGCAGGCATCTTCTGGGCACCACTTGCCGCCCCGCCAGGCCTGGCATGCCAGCAGTTGTGCGTGAGGTTGACGGCCCTGCACAGCCCCACGGAGCTGCTATTTTTAATTTAATTGGAGAGTCGGAGGAGAAAGATGGTACCCAGCGAGGGAGTTTTAAAAGCTTTCGGGGTGGGGGCGGGGGGAGAGAAAGCGAAGAAAAGTTCGTAATTATACACCAGGCAGCCAGATTTGATGCTTGAACAGAAAGGTTAAATGTTACATTCAGAATAAAATGAGAAAAAGTCCTGATGACAGTTGCCCAGAGCTAAATAAGGAGGAAAAAAAAAAAATAACCCTTGCCCATCTCTTCTCCAGCTTCCTCGTCTCCCTCATACTCCTTTCTGAGTCTCCCCCCTCCGCTTCTGCCTTTTAAAGCTCAGAAGCCCACAAATAGGCCAGTTTGGAGCACAAAGATTACCACTTACTATGTCAACACTTGATTGCCACCCCAAAGCAGCTTTCACTCGAGCCTGAAAAAAATCACACATTTTCATTTCTCAGGCCAATAAGGTCTGACAGGGTCCAGAAAACTGGGATGGCAGTCTGGCACTGTGAGTAGCCACATGGGCTTTAGTACGGATGGACCTAGGTTCAAATCCCTCCTCTGCCAAGGGACAGATGGTGTGGGTCATAAACAGAAGAATATAAAGAGACGGACTCAGATGGCACACTCCTTTCATCCTTCCTTTTCCCACGGGGAATATAGATATGATGCCTGGAGCTGCTGCAGTCATTTTGTGACCATGAGGCAAATCACTAAAAGTGGAACAATCGAGAGACAGCATCCTTGAGGATATACCACTGTTCCCCAGGACTGCCTATTTGCAGTCAATAGAGACAAATCCATCCCACTGCGTTTCAGCCACTTTTAATCTCAGTGTTCTCGAAATGCTGAATCCATTCCTAACTCTGACAATCCCATATTGGCCTGAGCTTGAGGGTCAACTTGAGCAAGAGCATCACATCACTAAGCTTCATTTTACCTACATGTAAATGGGGACAGATGTCACTCACCTCACAGTGTGCACGTGGGGATTGAATGCGACTTCGTTTCTAAGGCACAGTGGCTACTATTGTTGTTCACAGTCCCAATGAATGGGAAAACAATATCAAATTATAAAATGCCAAGTCACCTTTAATTCAATAGCACTTTCTAGTTTTCCAAGAGACTTCTCTCCCTTCATTTTAGCTCATCCTCCACCCCAAATCTCTGAGGGGAGGACGTACTATTCGCTATTTTACACCTGGCAGCCTCAGAGAGGTTAAGCAACTTGCCCAAGGTAGCTTAGCTAATGACAGAGCCAGCCTGTAATTCTAATCAGATCCCAAGTCCCCGGGGCCTCGGCCGGGCCGGTTCTGAGCTGTTCTACTAAAGGTCCCACTTCTCCTCCTGGGGAGCACTGATGTCTCAGGGTTGGGGACAAAGCTGTGTCTGAGACAATATGGTTCATGTGTCAACACAAGGTGAGTTGGACCCTGGCCTTCAAATTCCTCCTCCCGTCCCTAAAACCTCGAGATTCCTTGAGCTCTAATCCCCGACCCACTGCACTTGTGACTCTATTCACATTAGGCCCTCACAAGAGCCCTGTTCACAAGGAGCCATATGACACAGTGGTTGAGAACCCAGACTGCATTTGAACACCACGCTTGCCACTTAGCAGAAAAAGATATGTTCAAATTTATTTTGAGAGAGAGTGCGTGTGCGCGCGCATGCAAGTAGGGGAGGGGCAGAGAGAGAGGGAGAGAGAATCCCAAGCAGGCTCTGCACTGTCAGCGTGCAGCCCGATGCGGGGCTCAAACCCGTGAACCATGAGATCATGACCTGAGCCGAAGTCAAGAGTTGGACGCTTAACCGACTGAGCCACCCAGGTGCCCCGAGAAAAAAGTATTTGATACGTAAATAGTAAGTTCTATGAGTCAGGGTGAGCAGAACAGCTGCTGTAACAAAACAACCCCCAAATCTCAGTGGCTGAAGGTGGTCGAGTTTTCCTCAGGTCCCAGGGCAGTGTAGCAGGGTTGGGTGGGGCTTGGGGAGGGGGGTCTATGTTCCATCTAGTCATTCGGCCCCCTTCCCCCATCGGATCCTCTGCATCCTGCAGGCTGATGGAGCGATTTTAAGGGTCAGGCACACACTGAACTGGCCAGAGCCTGTGACATGGTCACATGACCCTACCTAACTGCAGGGTGGGGGTAGGGTGCTGGGAAGTGTAACCACACGGCCGAGGAAGGAGGGGCGGTCTCCCACGGTCCCCAGCAGTCTCTCTCAGTCTGCCCCATGGAAAGTAGGCATCCTCCTCCCCCCAGATCACATGACCTTGTTACATTTGATTATTTCAGTCTCCGTCACCTCAAACAGAGTTCCTCAATTACTGCCTCCGTCCCCCCGGTAGGTCACAATCTCCTCGAAGCCAGAAAACCCGGCATCTATCCCTCCGTGGTCCCCAGTGCCTAGCACATAGTAGGTCCTCTAATGTGTATGAAATAAATATTACATGAGTAGAAACTCAAACTTTAACAGAATTTCGGGACATCTGGGATAAGGGAGGGAACGTGGCAGAGAAACAATGAGAGGCTCCAGGCCCCTGACATCCCACCCGGCGGGTCCCTAGAGGCTGCCCTGGCCCCACCTGGGTCCTCATGGACTCCCGCTCCCCGCGTCTTCCCCAGAGACCGTCCATCCTGCGGCCACGCATGACAGAAGCCAGCTCTGGTTCCAAAGAAGTTTATTTGCATATAAAACAAAACCCTGGCCATGGAGGGAGGGCCCTTTGGCTCACCTGTAGCAATTTCTCCCTGGCCAGAAAGAATGAGTAAGACTAGAAACTTCACCTCTCCCATCCCACCCCATCTGGGACCCCAGCACAAGGTCCCATCTCACTCGCCCCAGTTAAAACCTACTGAACTGAGAGCAGGACAGCCCAAGGGAGATGCCAGCGAAAAATTAAGTGGCTACGAGGGAGACGGTAAGTGATCACTCCCCTCCAAATGACAGACCACCGCCTGGAGACACTGCCTCCGGAAGGCTTCCAGGGTCGACCCCCTGTCCTCCTATGGGCTGGATGTCACTCTTGAAACAAGATAAAACCCTAGTACCTAAGAACAAAAACAAAACCAAAAACAAAAACCCTCATGAACTCGGAATTCCAAAACCAGCTGACCCCACCCCTGCCCAGGCCCCCATCACTGAAATGAATCCCCTCTAACCCGCGGGCGGGGCGGGACCCAGGGGCCCACAGGTCACAGCCTGAGACTCTCCTCATAGTCCTCCTTGGTCATCCACTCGGACCTGTAGGTAGACAGATGGGCCACCACGGACGCTCCCAGCCAGACGCTGAAGTTTCTGTTGGAACCCACCCACATGGTGGCCTTGGAGGAGGAGAAATGATCTGCCATCAGCTCCTTGTACAGGCGCTTGGTGAAGCCGGGGTACAGGGTGTTGCCCCCGCAGGCCATCACGTGGGAGGTGAGCAGCGGGTGCATGGAGGCCTCGCAGGCCAGGATGGCATCCACCACGGCCTGGGAGATGCCCGGCCCTTGCAGGTCGAACACCTGGGGGCTGAAGAACATCTCGGGGGCCAGCCGCTGCATGGGGGTCAGCTCCACGCGGGTGCCGTCGGGGAGCTGGTAGGCGTTGCTGTCGTCCGAGCCGCTCGGCAGGCTCTGGCGGAAGTCGAGCGCCTCCCCCAGGTTCTGCGGCACATAGCACTTGCTCATCTGCGTGGTGGCCACCGTTTCCAGCTGAAACAGGTTGTGGAGATTGCAATCCTCCTTAAAGAGGCTCTTGAAGAGATAGGCCGCCAGATCCTGGCCCGCGAACTCCAGCGTCTTGCCGCCGGGCTGTAAGGGGCGGCCCAGATGGAAGGGCTGCACGCGGGTCAGGCCGTAGCCGGAATCGACCACCACGCCGGTCAGGAGGCCCGAGGCGTACAGGGACATCTCCAGCTGGTCGGCCAGGAGTACGGACGGCACATCCAGTAACTCAAACATAATCTGCAAGAAGGGAGGAGAGACGCTGGGTTATTCCCCC